GTGGAGGTGATAAGCTTAGAGGCAGAAGAATGATGAGCTCAGATTTGGACATGTTGAACTTGAGGTGCTCATGGAGACGGTCTTCAGAATATAGGGCCCGGAGTCTAAATCCATTAAGAGATATGACTTTGTGATCGATGTGATCTGTGAATAATGCATGTAGTTGGCAGCTGAGTCCTGCTAATAATACAGTGTCTCATAGAGAAAACTAAAGAGTTAAGTGCGGATATATATAGAAACATTCTGAAGTCAGTTCTGTTAAACATTTAAAAACATACATGTACGTATAGTAAAAATTCAGGGGCAAAGAATTTGGGAATATCTCATCCACCCAAATGCCCTGAGAAAATTTACTTCCAAAATTTTAGTTAATATCTACCCCCATCGAAGCAAAAAGTTCTTGCCTATGAAAATGTAGATAATTTAGAACAAGGAGATGTATATATTTCAGTCAGAACTGATTTGATGTTTAACCTGAGGAAAGAATTTTGAAACTGAACTTTTAATGACAATTATAAGTAATCAATGCAATTTTTCAAGTGACTAATCAAGTTTGCAGGCTTTCTGCAAATTTGGGTGGCCATCCATAGGAATTTTCACTAAGCTAGGGTTTTTTTTTTTTCCTTTTAATTTTTAATTAAATTGGCCTAAGTCAGCAATCAAGGTTTCCATGTTACTATGTAATGTATAGGGTAGCATGTACGCTGGGCTCCCACCAGCTCCGAAAGAGATCATTTAGAAGGCCAGAGGGAGAAATCTGAACTCTCATTGTCAACGTTCCAAGAGATAAACAGAATATTATAAGTCGTTCTGAGGCAACAGGATCAGGGTTTTTAAATAAATCATATTAATATGTGAATAAGACAAGCATTATTCTCTTCTTTCAAAATTTAATAGAGCTTTTGTTTTTGCCAAGTAGGAAGGTAACTGTTGAGCTGTGTGGCTAGGGAACATATCTTGGACTTTCTGGTCTTGCCCAGGTTACACCCACTTTCTAAGTAGCTAACCCTGACTCATGGGGTCAGTCCATTTCTGGCAGGCCAGCTCAGCAGCTAGCTACCTCTTATGGTAGGAAAAAAAAAAATCTTTCTTCCGGGATAATGTAGGTATTGGTAACAATCTACCCATTTCCAGAAGTGAGAGGAAAGAATAAACCAGTTGGATTCTACCAGGCTGTTTTCTAGGTGTGACTTTTTCATAAGCCCAAGTAACTGAGAGGGGTCCAAGCCTGTATTCTTCACACACAGGCCCTACACGAAGCATGGGTCTGTCTAAACATACTTTTTCCTCCCTTGCTAATCTATGTTCTGAAAAGCACTGGCTTGCGAACTTTGGGGGCCCGACTCACACTAAAAAATACAAATATTACTGAAACAAAAGTCTCACAAAACACCATTTGCCCTTACAGCGTGCAACATGCCTGATATTTCCCAGTCTGTTCTATTTCATTAAGAAAGGTCTGCTTGTATCCTTCTAAATGACTCATGACCCACTAATTGATTTTGACCCACAGTTTGGCAAATAGTATTGCAGAGCATCCCTTCCTAAAATATACATTTCAACCTGCATTGAGGAAAGCAAATAACATTGGTAATGCTTTGACGCTCTCAACAATATAGAGAACTATTGAATTTCTGAGGTCATCAATTCAGGGCTGATTATCTCTCATTTCACATGGACACTGAGCAGATTCCAGTAGGACTCAACTCTGTGGAACCAGATGTCGCTTTTGAAAGAATTTTCACCACCAGCCCATTTACTGTGTTTGGCCTTTACCTTCTCAAAGCCCCACCCTTTTTTCACTCAACTTCCAGCTAAGAGGTACTTTAATTTGCTGATCCTAGACCAGCACTATTCAATAGAACTTTCTGTGTTGATAGTAAAGTTCTATGCCTGCACTGTTCAAAATGGTGGTCATAAGTGGCTGGGAACATTTGAGATATGGCTAATGACCCTGAGGAACAGCATTTTAAATTTTATTTAATTTCAATTTTTCAAACTTAAACAGCCATGCTGTAGTTAGTAATTATCACACTGAATAGTGCCAGCTCTAGATAAACCCTCAAAATATGTTTCCATTTTTTTCAGTATATACCTTCCCCTATTACTGCTTTTGGTTAATTGCATTGGTATCACTTGACTTTGTACTCTTCACACATTATCTGCTTCACTCTTGGTCCTTTAAAATTATGTTTATAGGGGCGCCTGGGTGGCGCAGTCGGTTAAGCCTCCGACTTCAGCCAGGTCACGATCTCGCGGTCCGTGAGTTCGAGCCCCGCGTCAGGCTCTGGGCTGATGGCTCAGAGCCTGGAGCCTGTTTCCGATTCTGTGTCTCCCTCTCTCTCTGCCCCTCCCCCGTTCATGCTCTGTCTCTCTGTCCCAAAAATAAATAAACGTTGAAAAAATAAATAAATAAATAAATAAAATTATGTTTATAGACAAATGATTCAATCCATGAATTCAGCACTCTCCATTTTCCTGCCATTTTCATTTTTTAATAAATTTTTCTTTTTATTTCCATCATAGCCTCATTTCCTTAGACCTTCCAACATATTCATTTTTGCAATATAATTTCATGTTTTTTTTTTTTAATTTAAAAAACCTAAACACTGGGGCGTCTGGGTGGCTCAATCGGTTAAGTGTCTGCCTTTGGCTCAGGTCATGATCTCCCAGTTCGTGAGTTTGAGCCCTGCACCCACCTCTGTGCAGACAGCTCAGAGCCTGGAACCTACTTTGGATTCTGTGTCTCCCTCTCTCTGTGCCCCTCCCCCTCTCATTCTCTCTCTCTCTCTCTCTCTCTCTCTCTCTCTCTCTCTCTGTCTCAAAAATAAGCATTTAAAAGTTTTTTTTTTTTTTTAAACAAACCTAAACACTAATCGTAGACTCAGTATGTAAACTATGGCTGGTGAAGAGGCAGTGGTTGAGATTGGTGGTGGTGGGTGGAATGGACTTGCTTTGGCTCTGGAATGTAACTTTTTTGCATCTGTAGGTTGGAAACCTGTATATATTTTGTATCTGAGATTGGAGAGTGTGTAAGTAGCGAAACTAGTCTACTTGAACAGAGTAATATGTTGGGGAGTAAAAATGATCTTTTAAAAAGACACTTTCTGTCCTTTTGATCGAGGGAGGTAGACAAACATAGGTAGAAGTAACTTTACTATGAGACTTGTAAGGTGATATCGCTGTGAGAGTGGTATATTATTGACGGTATTGGAGAAAGAAGAGTTCTGAGTTGGGAATGGAGGTATTGAGGGCACCTTAGAAGAAGTAACTTGTAGCTGAGTCTAATGCATTGGCAATTATAAGGATTTAGAAACAGAGAAGAGCACTCCAGGGTAGGAAACACACTTAAGGGAGAATTACAGAGCTTGAGTGTGTGGCATATTCAAAGAAAGTTAAGTTATCTAGTGTCTTAATGTCTGATGTGTCTAATCAAACCTGCATTTTAGGAAGATGAACTCATCAACAAATATTTACAGCAAGATAAAAATAATTGGTTAGAGGAAAATGAAACTGGAACAGGGAGATCAGCTCCTAGAATAATTAGATAAACTAAGTGAGTGATAACCCTCTAAGTCAGGAGATAGCAAACTGTCCCATGGGCTATTTGGGACCAACAGTCCATTTTTGTAACTAAAACTTTATTGAAACAGTCATGCCTACCTTCCCATTCACATATTATCTATGGCTGCTTTCACTGTACAAGGACAGAGTAAATAGTTGCAATAAAGACAGTATGACTTACAAAGCCCAAAATATTTCTTATCTAGCTCTTTTAAGAAAAAGTGGTCTTAAGAAAAAGGTCACCAACCTGTGGTCTAGAGTGGTAAGAGCAGGAAGGGTGGAATGCACACCAGAGAAATGATGGAAGTGAAATGCACAGGATTCAGAGACTGATGGCACCATGGGATTCATTGACATGGGAAGTTTAATTCAAGGTGTCTTTAGGCTCTCTAGACCTGGGAGACATAAAGGAAACCAATTTTACTGAGATAGGGATGAGAAGAAGACAAGCTAGGCAAAAAGGTAAGGAATGACGTGTTGTTTTTGAGACCCTGTGGCGCATACATGTGAAGACGAATAGATTCATCATCTCTGGAGCCAAAGAGAGACATCTCAACTGGACACGTAGACTTGGGAGCCATTCTCCTGGAGTTGAGAGGTGATAAGAAGATGATGGACCAAAGAGAGAGGAAAGGAGAGAACAGGAACACACAGAAACTTGGGAAGGATATGTCAACATAAGCAGCACACAGAGAAAAGAGAACCAGTGAAGAATTCAACAGGAGGGTAGGAGGAATATCATGGCATTACGGAACTAACAGATGGCAAAAGACGTATGGGAGAGAGAGGATGGCCAGCAGAATCAAAAGCTGTCCTAAAAGTCAAACATAATTATGATGTTTGGGAGGAGGTGACTGAACACATCAGAACATCACTGTTGGTATTTGCAGACAGAACCCAAGGAATTAACAGAAGAACAAATTGTGACAGCAAATGAAGACTAATCCTTTGAGATCTTTAGCAATTAAGGAAAGATGAAGACCAGATGGAAGGGGAAGCAGGTCTAAGGAGGGCTTTCTTGAGGAGAGGGTAAGCTTATTTTACACAAATGTCAATAGACTGGCATGAGGACATTTCCCAGACTTTGGACAGTTTGCAAATCACTCAGAAGCCTTTGTTTGCTTCCTTTGGAATGTACATCATTGCTATGGTCTGAAAGGTTGATGCTTCTGGAACCCAAGTGCAAGCAAAATGAAATGCTCCTTCTAACTCCATGTAAAAATCGTCTTAAGGTTTCCAAAAATGTACCAAGGCCTTTTAAAGATCTTTACATATAGATCTTCATGTCAAGAGCTTCATATCCTTTGAGTTCCAAAGGTGGGAAAAGGCATAGTGAAATCTGCCAAGTTGAGGAGAGGTTAGCATCTGGAGTCTTTGACTTCCCCAAGTGGAACAACCCTCTCTCCTAAGCCCAGAAGGTTTGCCCCCAGACTTACTTTTATGGAGCCCAGGGTTCCAGCTCTCAGGAATGTGCCTCATCTTCTGGTGCTGCCTTTGAACCGTCAACTTAACATTCAATTGCAGACAGCTTTACCTTAGAGAGAATGGAATAGGAAACGAAAAACTTTCAGGTTTGGAACCAGTAAGTCTTGGGGTTAAGCCACCAGTCCTCAACCAGGGTCTATTTTGCTCCCCAGCAGATCTTTGGCAATGCCTGGAAACATTTTTTGGTTGTCACAACTGGAGGTAGGGTACTAGCATTTAGTGAGTAGAGGTCAGAGATGCTACTAAACATCCAATAATGTATAGGACCTACAACAAAGAATTAAACAGCACAAATTGCCAATAGTTCTATACAACATGCTCTGATACACCTATTCTACTGGAAAAGGTGTCATTCATTAATTCACACTATGACGACTGACATTATATTAATGTGTCATGTTTGCTGATGGTACTTTTGGTTGCCTGTCCAAAATCTATCTTCCACTTCCTTTTTCCTAGCAAACCTTCTGTTTACTTCAGAAAACCACCTATTCCCAGACACAAAGGGTAATTAATACACGGCAATACAGGGTTCGGGGTGCATATGGAAACTATATTGGCCCAAGCAAACTAAAGGACTGGAGAGTAGTACTAATGAATGTTAACAATAGGCTGTTCAAAGAAAAGTGTATTCATACATACATGTAGACACCTATGCCTAGAGACCTGTATGTATATATACCTATATGTATACCTATATACATTTATTACAAGTATTTACTCATCTAATGGATGTGTGGAAGCCAATAGGCACACACACAAACATAAAACATGCATTGCTCTTTAGTTTCAATTCTACACAGCCAATTGATTTTTAGAAAATATTTTAATCGGCCTTGCCATTCTTACGTCTATAACCAACCTATGTTTACAACGAACAGGTGAGCGAGTGTAATACTGACATGAGTGTTGGCTGCTTTCGTATATGTTAACAAGACGATGAAGAAACATAGTCAGAACTCCACTCATTTGTGCATGATGTGAATGACTTCTTTGCTGAATCAGATAACACTGGAAGAATAGCCCTGGAGTTTTTGTACTATTCACAATGTAACAGCTTTAGAACAACACTGTTTAAAGTTTAATCTTCATTGTTTGCCTTTCTCCATCACTTTCTTAGTAGACAACCAAAACATAATAAATCACGACCTGATTTATAGCATTTGCCAATTTCTGAGCTGTAAATACTCCCACCATGGCTAATTTCAAGCCACTGATGGGGGGTTGGAGAGGAAGTACAATGGTACATCGCTACCTACCGTCACCCTCATACAGGTAGGATAGATGTAAACCATGTCAAGGGCATAGGTAATAGTGAAAGTAGCAAAATAATTAGGAAGTGATGAGCCTTGACTCTTTATTATCTTTGTTTTTTTATATAATTCATTTCATTTTACATTTATATAATTTAACTTTTAGTAACAACTATGTTTAACAACTAGCATGCAAAATTCCTAAAAATTTGGCAATTGGTACTCACAAGCCCGTACAAGCCAACACCAGCACACCAATGACTGGGGGCAAGGTTTTCTTTTTCTCTCCTGCAGGGTGCGAATAAGTAATCACATAAACCCAATTTCCACTGGCAGCCATTATAACCAGGAGAAGATCCCGCCTGTGGCGAAGGTCAGTGGTAAGGAAGGCAATTTGGAGAGACAGAAAAAGCCTGAGTCCTTCATGCCACACTTCAGTTAGTGATCAAACTATGTCTGGAAGACATCCCTCCACTGATCTTTTCTGCTCATGCAAAATAACTCATGTCCCTACTGTTCAAGCCACCTTGTATCACGGTTTTATGCTGTTTGTAACCGAGATCATTCCAACCAATACAGTTTTGTTTTTGTTTTTGTTTTTTCTCAAGAAGGAATGCCTTAATGAAAGAAATTATCCCTAATTATAGAAGTTTAGGCCTTTGAAGTTGAGAGAGTATTTTTAGAAGCTTCCAGAGGACAGGAGAGAGATTTGGCTTATTTTACCCATATTCTTTATTCTTTTCCCTGTCATCCTGCCTATGCCAGGCTCTCCTTCAAAACTCAGTTCACTCTGCTTCTTGTCTTTGAAGGCTTCTTCTCCTCTTCCATTCACCGAAACAAAGTAGAATTTCTCCCTTGATGACTTGGTGTATACAAATTGCGTATCATGTTTCATGCGTTTTTTTTACAAGTCTATATGACTCCCAGCTTCCCAGAGTCCAGCTTGTTATATAATTTTTTTCTGTATCTCCAGTACCCAGCACAACAGTATTCAGTAAACGTGTCAAGGACTGAACTGTGTCCCTTCAAAGTTTATATGCTGTACCCTTGAACCCTAATGTGACTGTATTTGGAGATGGAGCCTTTAAAGATGCAGTTAAGGTTAAATGAGTTCATGGTCACTGGGGTGGCTCAGCTGATTAGGTGTCTGACTCTTGATTTCGACCTCAGGTCATAATCTCACAGTTCATGAGATTGAGCTCCAGGTCGGGCCCTGTGCTGACAGGGTGACAGCATGGAGCTTGCTTGGGATTCTCTGTCTTTCGGCCACCCCCGCCCCCCATTCTTCTGCTCCCCCGTCAAAAATAAACATTTTTTTAAAAAAGGTTAAATGAGGTCACAGGGTGAGTCCTAAGCCAATAGGACTGGTGTGCTTATAAGGAGAGGAAGAGATACCATTGTTACAGAGCAAAGGCCATGTGAGAACACAGAGAGAAGGCAGTCATCTGCAAGCCAGGGAGAGAGACTTGGGGAGAAACCAAGCTTGATGGCATCTTGATCTTGGACATCCAGCCTCCACAACTGTGAGAAAAAAAAAATTCTGTTGCTTAAGCCTCCCAGCCTGTGGCATTTTATTGTGGAAGCCTGAGCAGATTAACACAAAAGGAGTGCTGAATGAATGAATAAGTGTCCTTTAAGAGAGATAGTTCACACATATCCGTTGATTCCCTGCTCTTAAGCACTTACATGCTTTCACTACACCGAGAGTATGATTTTACCAAAACTCTGACAAATTAATTTCATTTTGGCTAAGAAAAGGAAGAAAACAGACTGTTTGCCATAGAAAACATAAAGAAAGGTATTTTCTCCATAAGTCCTTCCATATCCCTAATTTCTGATTTTTTCTCTTTTAGGTTTGCTTTACACAGAGAATGATGAACCCAGTGGAGACCTGGGAACTATACACAAAGAGGAAATATGACCAAAGAAAAGGGTCGCTTTCATCTCTCATGAAAGCAACGCTGTTTTTGTTGATACATATGGAAAAAATCAGGGCCAATTATGCATTGTGATTTGGCACTGGGGTTGCAGGCTCACCACAGGCCTTTTCTTTCTTTCCACAGATATACCGTTACAGTCCACGGGAGCCCCGAGCCCTCTGTTACTGGCAAAGCCACTCCTCGGCGAGATGGACCAAGCCAGAGGCGTCTCCGTCACTGTCAGGATGGGCTTCGAGCGCAAAGAGCATTTCCTGTCTGCTGGCTCTAAGGAGTCAGAATTATACTTGGTGAAGGCAGCCCCGAGTTAGGTTCCCAGGGTAGACAGTCACACGCTGTTTCACACAAGTGGGTGTGGGCACACTGTCTTAGCGCTCTCTCTGACCTCAGGGAGCCCTCAAAACTAGTCTTCCTAGTATTTCACTAGCTGCTTATTTCACACGGGCTTCAGGTTGATGACGATCAATCCTCTTTCCTGATCTCCTGGTCTCAATCAACGATATTCACACTTTTTTTAAAAGTGGAGACTATCAGGGTGTTAGGAGACATGGTTCTGGGCCTCTTGTCTGCTAACTCACTGTGTGACTTTAGGCAAGTTCCTGCCCCTTTACGGACTGGACCACAGTCTCCTCATCTATGAAACAAAGGTGTTGGATTAAGTGGGCTTCCAGCTGAAACCATCTCCTGTGCTGCCCACTACAGTAGCAACTAACCACACATTGCTGTTTAAATTTAAATTAGTTAAGTGAAATTTAAAATGTAGTTCCTCGGTCTCACATTTCAAAGGCGTTAATAGCCACATGTGGCTGGTGACTAGCAGATTGGACTGAACAGATAGACTATTTTCATCACGGCAGAAAAACCTGTTGAACAGCCTGGATCTAATGCTCTCATTTTATCATGACTGTAGATAATCTCATAACAAAGCCTGACAGCTGACTAGCACTTTCGTGTTTATCACAAAAGTGTATATTTTGTGTATATTTCGATACATCATTACATTTAACCACCCAAAATAGGTAAGAGAGGTATTATTATGCCCTACCTTATCAGATGAGGATGTAGACTCACAGATTAAATGACTTGCTGTAGGGTCATGCTACTAAAGACCAAATGCACTTTCCAAATCCAGCACTCTAACACATGGCACTAAGTTACAGGGAAAAGACGTGCGTGGCCTCGCTAAGGCCACTCCAACCCATGGTGGTGAAGGAACTAAGACCCAGCTATTAAGAGCTGATCCAGAGATGTTGTGCCTTAGTTGAGATTTTAGCTCCACACGCCCTGGCTGTGTGACCACAGACACATTATTTAATGCCTCTGGGCTCCTTTACCCTCTTCTATCAAATAGGGATGGCACCAGTATCTGCTGCTTGTGACAATTACAGGAGCAGATGCAAAGAGAGTGCTTAGCTCAGGAAGTCAAGCACATAACAACTACTCGCCAAAACTTAGCTACTGTGATGATGAACGCGAGCACTACCTTTATTCTTCCCCAGGACTGCATTTCCTCTCCGGCCCAGCGGACACACTGACAGCTCCTGCAGACTTACTGCTAGCTTATCTGAGGAAAGACACTACTCTTACACATGGACAACAACTCCCTTTTTCGAAACCTACTGAGGAATTTGGCCTCATAAACTCCTGTGGCCATGAGTTCCCCAGATTAATTACAAGTTGTTTAGGAAGAGCTCCCTCTGAGGGATTGGATTAATCCACCTGGGCAGCGTGCCATGAGCAAATGGCTTTTCCCCTTTAATTTTTCCAAACTTTTTTGGTGCCAGGAACACAACATGTGCCTGCCCTGGAGGAAGGCCTGGCCACAGTAGGTGCCACCAGTGCATGGGGATGAGGGGTGA